AGTTTTTAAACCATAAAACTTGACTACTGACAGTTTCTTTCATTTCTGTTTCAATGGATTATATCCTATTTGGACTGGATCATTCCCACTGAGCCTCTGACTTCACCCTTTTGTTTGATCTCCAGCCTCCATACCCGCTTCCTGACAATCCTTCTGCCCAACTGCACCAGATTAAGATTCCTAAATGATCTCTTTGATCATGTCACCTTCCTGTTCAAAAATATTGATGGCTCAGTATTTCTCCATGAAGTCCAAACCGCTCAATGTAACACCAGCTGACATCTCACTTCTCTCATACACACACTCTGCAGCCCAGCTGAGTGGAGGTATCCACCACTGCTGTGCCTCATTTGAGAAGAACTTGCCCTCCACATCTTTGTTGAAGTTTTAAGCTTCCTTTAAGGTCCAACTCAAACGCTGTCTTCAAGACATAACAGTGCCATTGAGGTTATCTGGGATAACATGTGGTTAGGAGATCTCTCTGATCATTAATTCTTCAAAAATAGCTTACACTATCTGTAGCTATCAGTAGAGGGCCCCCAAAGTGACACCTATTAAGTGCCTGTACTCTTGCATTATGGGTCCTGCATTTGCATCTTTGTTGTTTGTTGGTTTTTTAATCTTTCCCAGTAGAGTGTAAGGTCCTTACATTGAAGCCAGCCTCTGTCTCCTTGTTTATCACTATATACCCATGGTATAGCACAGTATCCAGCACAGAGTAGGTGCTCAATAAATGTTTCTTAGCCCAAATTACAAAGTTGTCTGAAACTTTAATAGTGACATTAATTTTAGCCTGATCTGAAGAATCACTGTTTTTAAAATATTTACATTGACAACAAATCTTCTTATTTCCTCTCTTACTACATTTTTTGTTAATTAAAATTTTTGTGATTTATGCTGTGAATTTCGTTTGCTTACGGTTGTCATGTATTCCATGAGAACAAGCAAGTTGTCTGTTTTACTTATTTATTTATTTATTTTTTTATTTTTAGATGGAGTCTCACTCTGTCACCCAGGCTGGTGTGCAGTGGTGTGATCTCGGCTACTGCAACCTCCACTGCCTGGGTTCAAGCAATTCTCCTGCCTCAGCCTCCCTAGTAGCTGGGATTACAGGCGCACACCACCATGCCTGGTTAATTTTTGTATTTTTAGGAGAGACAGGGTTTCACCATCTTGGCCAGGCTGGTCTTGAACTCCCAACCTCGATTGATCCAACTGCCTCAGCCTCCCAAAGTGCTGGGATTGTAGGCATGAGCCACCGCACCTGACCTATCTGTTTTACTTTTTAAAAAAACCATGCTTGACAGGTTTTTAGATTGATCCCCAGCCCTACTACCCAGTAAACCAGTGGTTTAGCAATGGTAACATAGAGACCTTCAGCTTTTCAGCCTAAGGCTTTCAATTTTTAACCGCTATAAGACTTAGCTTGAGCCATGAGAAGAATTTACCTTAGTTTTCTTAAGGGTTTCTAGCCAATAATGTTATCCATATGTCTTTTTAAAGCCTTAAATGGAATTGATGCAAATTCACTAGCATCCATTTATTTCAGTTCTGCAAAACCAAATTAGTAGAGCCATGGCAGCCAAGGTCATACTGTTTATTCCAGAGACTTCTTTCCCCTATGTGCCTTTTCAAGCTCCCACAAAGGACTAGTAGTGTCATATTTGCCCAAAGTGAAAGCACAACATGAGATTCTTGTGGTAATCTGTGCTCTCCTCCCTCTCTCTTTCCTTTGCCCACTTCCCCATTCCCCGTTCTCTCCCCATCCGCTCAGCCATCAATGAGTTCCGTTCTGTCCCCACCCTAATAACTATAAATGACACCAATGCCCAGCAAGGAGCAAAGGTCAAACAGCTCTCCTGCATTCTTTATTTTTCTACCAAGATTGCAGGATTTATGTGGCAACAAAGGATAAAGAACTGGGCAGCAAATACAAATTGGTAAATTTTAAGAACAGAGGGATTAAAACACGGTGCCCATCGGGAAAAATATACATATATGATCATTGTTTCAAGTCTTGAAAAAGAAGTAATCTTTGCTGTGGTGAACAGGCAAATAACAACAACAGATTCCTGAGGGAATGTGATAGGCTTTGAATCAAATGAGTACAGGTCATGGATTTCCAAAATTTTTTTTAGTGTGTCCATTACTTTCCGAAAGATCCATCTCTCTGCTGTTGCTGTTGCCACAGCTACCAGGTTCTCCAAGCAGAAGGAGGGAGAGAGGCTCCTGCAGCTTCCCCAGGGCAATTGACCCCTCCACCCACACACCTTCATAAAACATTCAGAAACCTCTCTGCTCAATTATATGTGCGTACACCACTGCACAGTAACTCTCCTGGCCACATGTTATCCCAAATAACCTCAACGGCATTGTCATGACAGACTACGAACAAGGCATGGGGACTCAGCCAGGATTGTGTCATAGGGTTTTGGCAATAAAGAGGGTTTTGGCCTGTCTTGAAGCCAGGAGTGATTATTTCTACTAATAATAGCTATCATTTATTAAATTCCCACCAGGTGCCAGCTGCTTGATATATGAAATAATGATGAGAGGTGGTAACATTTATTGAGTTGCTCATTATATGCTAGGTACTGTCACAGATTTGTAACATGTATTTTCTCATTTAATGCCTACTCCCCCCAACTACCCTAAAGGCTATATATTAATTTTTTAGCACCAGTAAATAGATGAGGAAACTGAGGTGCAGACAGTTTAAATAACCTGCCAAGGTCACGCAAGTAGTAAATGCTGGAGCTGGGACATGAAGCCTGGAAGCCCAACTCCAAAACCACACCCTTAACCATCATGTTAAATTATCTTCCTGGTTCAGTTACTTTTAATCCTCATCAAAGCTCTACTTTATACCCAGTTCAGATGGGAAGCTGAGGTTCAGAGTTGTTAATTAACGTGAGTAGCAGCTGGGGTTCTGTTCAGGGTCATGAGACACTGGGGATGCAAGGTACAGAGCTCTATCACCCCAGAAGCTTCTGTGGCTGTCTAGCCTTGGACAAAGGAGTTAAGTCACTGAAGTTTTTTTCAAGAGCTTCCACCTTCTATCCTTCCCATGTTTGATCCCCTTTCCATCTCTGAACTCTCCCCGAGGCCCATCTCCCGCTGCCACTACCCCTACCCTCCCATTATAAAACTCTTCTTTGTCTCCTTCCTGAAGGGGTCTCTATAAGGGAACTCATAAATTAGCCCTTCCTAATTTTTCATGGTATAATATAGCACTTTAGAGTGCTGATTCTGCTGAAAATGCAAATCTCAGGCCACACAGACATAGTGGTCCTGACTCAGCAGAGTTGGGTGGGCCCAAGCATCTGCGTTTTTCAGTAAGCACCCCATGATTCAGATGTGGGCAGCCCAGCTTGATTGACTCTAGTCCAGTGTGTCCACACCTTCTGACAGAAGATTTGCATCAGAGAAAGGGACTTTATGTTGGGAATTTCAGGCCAGGGCAAGTGGGGCCTTTGGGTTTTGTTTTTGTTTTTTTGTTTGTTTGTTTGTTTGTTTTGGGGTTTTTTCTTTCTTTCTTTTTTTTTTTTTGAGATGAAGTCTCGCTCACCCAGGCTGTAGTGCAGTGGCGCAGTCTCGGCTCACTGCAACCTCCACCTTCCAGGTTCAAGCGATTCTCCTGCCTCAGCCTCCCGAGTAGCTGGGACTACAGACGTGCGCCACCACACCAGGCTATTTTTGTATTTTTAGTGGAGATGGGGTTTCACCATGCTGGCCAGGCTGGTCTCAAACTCCTGACCTCAGGTGATCTGCCCACCTCAGCCTCCCAAAGTGCTGGGATTATAGGCATAAGCCACTACACCTGGCCAGCCTTTGGGTTTTGTTTTCCTCTGGCTATCATATTGGTCAAATTTGGGTATACATTTTACCTATGTAAATTTTAAATCGAAGGTCTTTCAAATACTCTTAAATTTAAATAGTTGGTCTTTTAAAAAGATAGAATAAAATTAAAACCTCCAGTTTATTACCACAAAGCTTACTAAATAATAACTTTTCCTTTATTTGGTCATTAAGTAGATGCATACATCACACAGGTGAAATAAACAGTGTTGGCCGGGCGCGGTGGCTCA